GAGTCTTGCTCTGTCACCTAGCCTGGGGTGCAGTGGCGTGATCTCAGCTCACTGCAGTCTTCACCTCCCGGGTTCAAGTGATTCTCCTGTCTCAGCTTCCCAAGTAGCTGGGACTACGGGCGCCCGCCAACATGCCCAGCTAAATTTTGTATTTTTAGTAGAGACGGGGTTTTACTGTGTTAGCCAGGATGGTCTTGATTTCCTGACCTTGTGATCTGCCTGCCTCGGTCTCCCAAAGTGCTAGGATTACAGTCATGGAAACATGGCACCAGGCCTGGCTTGCCTACTAAAAGAATATTAAGAAAATTTTCCATCAAATACTTTTTTACATGCATTATATAAACACCAACAGACACAATGCAATGATTCAGCAAACTAATTATATTTTGGTGAGCTTAACCTCTTTCTCTGAAAGGTCGCCTTGCAATAGGCTGACTTTTTCCTTCAAGTCTTTCAGATCTTTTTTGTAGTTATCAATTTCCTCTTGTTTCTCCCGCTCATCTCTGTCCCTCTGCTCCTTTAAGCGTTCGATTGTCCGCTCCTGATGAGAGAATATATCAACATGTGAGGAAATTCCTTTTTGTACTTATATGATTTTAATTTTGCTTTTAGCTGATAAAATTTCAAACTTCTATATTCAAAAGACAATGGTATGTTTCTAAAGAATCCACTTTTTAAAGAATCCTTCTTATTCATCTTGCCATAACAAGGATGTAGCTTTATTCAACTGAATCCCAAGGTTTTTTTTTTTCTTCTGATCTCAACTAGTATTTGATATTGCTAAAGTATTCTTTGGGAATATTTCCATTTATTTAATTTCCAAGTAACTAAAAGCTTATATATATATATGCCCTAAGGACAATAACTAACATAATAATTAACTATTTCTTCTCTATATATTATTCACATGTTGCCTACAGGCAATGGAAACAACTCACAACTCACACACCAAAAAAGGGAGCAATGGGAAAGATTTTGATATTTTGAGCTTAAAATATAAAGAAGGGTAAAGAAAAAAGAAATCATTAAAACTTTCTGTCAGCAGATACTCATGAAGTTTGAAAATTAGAGCAATTTGGCCAGGCACAGTGGCTCACACCTGTAATCCCAACACTTTGGGAAGCCAAGGCGGGTTGATCACTTGAGGTTAGGAGTTCAACACCAGTCTGGCCAACGTGGCGAAACCCAGTCTCTACAAAATATTAGTTGGTTGTGGTGGCTCATGCTTGTAATCCCAGCTACTCGGGAGGCTAAGGCAGGAGAATCACTTGAACCCAGGAGGTGGAATTTACAGTGCGACAAGATCACACCAATGCACGCCAACCTGGACAACAAAGTGAGACTCTGTCTCAAAAAAAAAAAAAAAAAAAGAGCAATGTAAGTGTATTTTTGGGTACCATTTCTAAATATATTCAGGAATAACGCCTCAATTCCGGCAGGCAGCCTGAAGCATTCTGAATCCAAAAGACTTAAAGAACAGTGACCCACTCATCCTGTTAAAAAAAAAAAAAATCCAATTACAATGACCCACAAGATGCCCTAAACCTCCTTCCAAGACATTAACAATGGTCAGAGGTTTGGGCTACTTCCTTAGTCAACCATTCCTAAAAAACTAAGTTTGTTGGCTGGGTGCGGTGGCTTACGCCTGTAATCCCAGCGCTTTGGGAGGCTGAGGCAGGCAAATCACAAGGTCAGGCGTTCCAGACCAGCCTGGCCAATTTTAACAGAGACTAAAGCTTTTTAGTCTCTACTAAGAAATATAAAAATCAGCCAGGCGTGGTGGCAGGTGCCTGAAGTCCCAGCTACTCAGGAGGCTGAGGCAGGAGAATCGCTTGAACCCGGGAGGCAGAGGATGCAGTGAGCCTAGATAACACCACTACTGCACTCCAGCCTGGGCAATAAAGTGAAACTCTGTCTCGAAAATAAATAAATAAATAAACAAAGAAACTAAGTTTGTTTATAAAGGCAAAAGAATGTAGAAAGGCCAAGACTAGAAAATTAGAAAGCACATTATATTAATAACTAAAATCCAGTAATATACTAGGTACCAAAATGGGATAGTAAAAGAGGACTAATTATGTATCGTCTCCTGATGATCATGTCTGCTATTCCCACATCCTCAAATTCTAGTTGGCCATATAAATTTAATTTTTTTTTTCTTTTTCTTCAGAAGATAGGAAATGGAGAAAATCTGGCTGATTCTTTAGAAAATGTGGCCACTGCTCTGTAGTGTACAGTCCATCTTGCCTGGCAACAGATGCTTAAACTGGCCACAACTCAATGGAGTTTCTTTTCCCTTCACACTACATATGTCAGCAACAGCACAAAGTAGCTCTTTTCCCTTTTGCCCACAGGGATGTCTTCTGTATTCTATATCCAGTTTTAGATTAATGAGAAAGCAGAAAACGTGTGTGGAGAGTCGGGCCAGTCACTTACTTTCTCTGCAAGGGCCTCCTCCAAAGTTGTCAAGGCAGTGTCAGTATTGGTGGTGTCAGCCTGCAAGGATTTGACCCGTTCTTTCAAGCTGCTCATCTGCTTTTCCTTATCTCTAAGCTGCTCTTGAAGATTTTCAATCTAAATATACATAAATATTTAAGGGAAAAAAGAGAACATTTTTTAAAAACAATAGCACAATCAAAATTATTTTAATTTGAAAACAGCTCAGGGCTGTCTATGTGCCTTCTATAGAAATTATTTAATCCTAAATTTCAGAATTACATGCAAAACCTTAAACCCAGGAATTTGTAGGCAAAACAAACAAAAAAAGGTACACAAGTATATGGACACATATACACAAATCTCTAATAAAATAAGAAAAGTAACTAGTAGAAAAGATCCAATGTAGAGATGGCCATGTAGAGAGGAAAGCCATGAGGACTAGGATTACTTCTAAAATGACATTGTAAATGCAAGGGGAATTCCTTCACAAAGAATAAAGGGAAGACAGAGAACAGATAAGCCAAACAGTGAGAAAGATGAATCTGCTGTGTAAAGAAAAGGCTGTTCTTAAATGCTAGTGTTATGTTAGATTTATATCATCTTTTATCTAAGCAGCAAACATTTTTGTAGTCATTCGTTCATACACACTTACATGTATCAATTTACTCAAAAAAATGTGTTGAATTCTGTATTACATGCCAGACACTACCGATATGAAGAAAAATGAATATGCTCATTTTTATTATGAGATGGTAAGAAAATGCATCGTTATACAGCTAAAGCCAAGCTATAGAAGACCTTGTGTGCCAACCTAAGGAGCACAGTTTTTATTCAGAGAAATGAAAACCATTAGAGATTTTTAAGCACAGAAATGGTCTGACCAGTTCTGTACTTTACATAAATAACAGTGTCAGTGTTGACAGTGTCAGCATGCAAGGATTTGACCCATTCTTTCAATGAAAATTTAACAGGACTTGCATATAGACATGGAAAACCATTTGGGGTTGTATCAATTCAGGTAAGATTATGGGGACTAAACACACTATGAGATAACACTGTGGAAATAGCATGTTATCACTCAAGTACAACAAGCAGCATGTTATCACTCAAGTACAAGGAGACTGAAGTACAATAAAAAATTATTCAAGTAAAAACTATGAGGAAATTCTAAGGAGATATCCTTAATAAGCTAAAGGAAAATTATAAATAAACCAGCTACTCACAAAGTTCATTCATTCAATATATACATACAAGTTTAACTTCCCGCTATAGATCAGGTACTTTTCCAGTTGTTGAGGAAACAGAGTAATAAAAACAGACCAAATCCCTGCCTTCATGGAGCTTACATTCTAGTAAGGTAGACAAATGAATGAAAGAAGGAAGGAATAAGTGATTGAACAAATGAATGAATCAATACAGCATAAGGCAGAGATAAGTTCTATCAAGAAAAATGAAGCAGGAGAATATAATCACAGTCTCCTCTTGAGCTGATACTGAAACTACCTGATTTTTTTTTACATGGTTTTCAAAATGCAAGACAAACATTATCTCCTCTGGGAATAGTTTGTCGCCCTCATCCCAATGAGAAAAACTTGATCATTGTCTGTATACCATTAATGATACATATACATGTATATATTTTATATAAATATACACTCCTCTATTCTTCCATATATCTATGTATTGATCACACATCTCCATTCTTCCAGCTATCATTATAGCACTGATTAGTGTATGTAACCATATGTTATTCTTTGTTTTATACATGTCTCCACAAGTAGACACAGATCCTGCCCCTCCATCTGTTTTGTACCTTCCTAAATGGTACGTCTCAGATCGTAAACATTAATCAATAAATGAATAAAATATAAGTTTGGACTTTCATAAACTGCATTTAGGGATTCACAAAAACTCCTACCAAGAAGGGAATTACAAAACAATCCTGGATCAAATTGTCAGGTAGTTTCTTACATTAGTAAATTTAATACAAGCTCTTTAAGGTACCTCTCTAGAGTCAAGAAGAACTTGACAGGCAGAACAAAAAAACTAAGAAAAAGATTTGATAAGTTTAGAATAGGGTACATGAATATGCTGAAGCTTAAATTTTCACTTAACAAAGAGATAATCATACAGCTGAACCATGAATTGCCTGAAATGGGCTCCAATCTATTTAGTGCCAGTAAGAGTCCAAAGCCCACTGTAAGAACTGAGTTCATCACAGATGGAAAGTATTAGTCTCCCCTTGATTTTATTAGATACTGCTACTAAAATCTCATATAAATCAATATTTAGGTAAACTCATAACCATTAAAGAGAATTTTGCCACTCAAAAATTCATATACTCCAAAAATCTGTATACTTCATATACGGGTATACCTCAATTTCTTATGGATTGCTTTATTGCTCTTCACAGATACTGGTTTTTTACTAACTGAAGGTTTGTGGAAACCCTGAATCAAGTAAGTCTATCAGCACTACTTTTCAAGAGTAGGCTACCTTGGTGTCTCTGGCACATTTTCGTAATGCTTGCAATATTTATTTTTCATTATTATTATATCTATAATGGTGATCTATGATCAGCGATCTTTGATGTTACTGTTATAATTTATTTGGGGTGCCATGAACTCTACCCGTATAAGATGGTAAATTTAAGAAATTTTTCAGATGATCCAACATGGCCGAATAGGAACAGCTCTGGAGTGCAGTTCCCAGCAAGAACAATGCAAAGGGTGAGTGATCACAGCATTTCCAAACAAGTTTTCACTGCCCACAGACTAGGAGATTCCCTGGCTGAAAAGTGCCATGAGTTTCCAGCACAGCTGCTTCAGCCAGAGCCATGGGTTGGCACACAGAAACTCACATAAATATGGGTAGCCATTTCAACTGGCACCTGGAATGCCTGGGAGACAGAGCCACCCATTCAACTGAAAGAGAGGGGGCTGACACAGGGAGCCAGGTGATCTGGCTCAGCGGGTACCACCCCCACAAAACAAGCAATCTGAAATGCTCTGGATTGAGAGTTTCACAGCAAGCGCAGCTGGACCCAGGACAGTCCAGCTCAGTGGAGGGAAGGGTATCCGCCACTACCAAGGCAGTTGGCCAATACTGAGGCAGTTCTAACTGTACCTCTAAAAACGACACCTCAAGGAAGTTCACACAGGAGCTGGGCAGAGCCCGCAGCAGCTCAGCAACACCTCTGCTGGCAGACTGTGAATAGACTATCTCCGTGGAGGGCAGGGCATCTATGAAAAAAAGGCAGCAGCACTCAGGAACTTATAAATAAAGCCCAACCTTCCTAGGACAGAGCACTGGAAAAGAGGCAGTCATGAGTTCCACTGCAGCAGACTTAAACGTACCTGTCCAGCAGCTCTGCAGGGAACAATGCAACTCCCAGCACAGCACTTGAGCTCCTATAAAGGACAGACTATCTCCCTGAGCAGTTCCCCAACCCCCGTATACCCAAAGAGACACTTCATAAAGGAGAGCTCAAGCTGACATCTGTTGGATACCCTTCTGGGACAAAGATAACAGAAGAAGAAACCAGGAGCAACCCTTACTTTTCTACAGCCCCTGCAAGTGATCCCCAGGCAAGCAGGGTCTGGAATGGACCTCCAGCAGTAATGCAGCAGAGGGGCCGGACCATTAGAAGGAAAACTAAGAGACAGAAAGAAATAGCTTCACCATCAACAGAAAGGATGTCCACTCAGAGACCCCAACCGAAAGACACCAACTACAAAGACCACAGGTAGATAAAGCCACAAAGATGGGAAGAAACCAGTGCAAAAAGGATGAAAACACCAAAAACTAAAACGCCTCTCCACCTCCAAGGGACCACAACTCCTCACCATCTAGTGAACAAAGCTGGATGGAGAATGAATCTGAAGAATTGACAGAAGCCAGCTTCAGAAAGTGGGTAATAACAAACTTCTCAGAGCCAAAATAAAATGTGCTAACCCAATGCAAAGAAACTAAGAATCTTGAAAAAAGGTTAAAAGAAATGCTAACTAGAATAAACAGCTTAGAGAAGAATATAAACAGCTTGATGGAGCTGAAAAACACACCATGAGAACTTTGTGAAGCATATACAAGTTTCATAGCCGAATTGACCAAGCAGAAGAAAGGATATCAGAGACTGAATATCAGCTCAATGACATAAAATGAGAAAGCAAGGTTAGAGAAAAAAAGAATAAAAAGAAATGAACAAAGCCTCTAAGAAATATGGGATTATGTGAAAAGACCTAATCTACGTTTGATAGGTGTACCTGAATGTGATAGAGAGAATGAATCCAAGCTGGAAAACGCACTTCAGGATATAATCCAGGAGAACTTCCCCAACCTACCAAGGAAGGCCAACATTCAAGTCCAGGAAATACAGAGAACACCACAAAGATGTTCCTCAAGAAGAGCAACCCCAAGACACATAATCGTCAGATTCACCAGGGTTAAAATGAAGGAAAAAATTCTAAAGGCAGCCAGAGAGAAAGGTCAGGTTACCCAAAAAGGGAAGCCCATCAGACTCACAGTGGATCTCTTGGCAGAAACATTACAAGCCAGAACAGAGTGGGGGCCAATATTCAACATCCTTAAAGAAAAGAACTTTCAACCTAGAATTTGATATCCAGCCAAACTAAGCTTCATAAGCAAAGGAGAAATAAAATTCTTTATGAACAAGCAATTGCAGAGAGATTTTGTCACCACCAGGCCTGTCTTACAAGAGCTCCCAAAAGAAGCACTAAACATAGAAAGGAACAACCAGTACCAGCCACTCCAAAAATGTACCAAATGGTAAAGACCAACAACACATTGAAGAAAACGTCTCAACTAATGGAAAAACATACCGCTGGCATCAAAATGGCAGGTTCCAATTCACACATAATAATATTAACCTTAAATGTAAATGGGCCAAATGCCCGAATCAAAAGATATAGACTGGCAAACTGGATAAAAAGTCAAAACTCATCAGTGTGATGTACTCAGTAAACCTATATAACACATGCAAGGACACACATAGGCTCAAAGTAAAGGGATGGAAGAAGATTTATCAAGCAAATGGAAAGCAAAAAAAAAAAAGCAGGAGTTACAATCCTAGTCTCTGATAAAACAGACTTTAAACCAACAAAGATAAACAGACAGAC